CCTCTTTTTAAACAATGGATATAAATGGTATTTGCTTGTTTTTAAATTACACTACTAGTAAGGTCCTTTATTATACAGAAAAGCTATAGGCAAAACAACCATAATACTGGAAAGAACAGCCTTGACCTGCTACATCCTCAAGCAGGTAAATAATTAATTTGTGTGTTTTTAATGACATGAGTATATTGGAAGTATGTATAAATGTTTGCATGGGAATGTCTTACTATGTACTTACTTTCATTCTTACTATGAAACAAAATTGCTTCAAAATAACATTGAAAAGTTATAGTTGCCATATATATATATACCTTATATACAAATAGACACAGAAACACACAAACAGCAAGGCTTTTTATGAACTTTTGAAGCAAAAAATAATATTCTAAAACTTATAAATTCCATAAACATAATTTTAAATTATTTGAGACCTTTAAATCAAAATGGAAACAGAAAAATATTATTTAGTGAAAGCACTTTTGTTTCCGTTCCCCACCACCCCACCCCCCTCGATCAAATCTGTGAATTGTATCACTGAATCACAGGATGACTGAGGTTGGAAGGAACCTCTGGAGCTCATCTAGTCCAATCCCCCTGCTCAGGCAGGACCACCTAGAGTCTGTTGCCCTGGACCACATCCAGATGGTTTTTGAATAACTTCAAGGATGGAGACTCCACCACCTCTCTGGGCAACCTGTGCCAGTGCTCAGTCATTCTCAGAGTAAAAAAGTGTTTTCTTGTGCTCAGACACATCCTCCTGTGTTTGTGCCCACTACCTCTGATTCTGTCACCAAGCACCACTGAAAAGACCCTGCCTGTCTTCTTTACACTCTCTCTTCAGGTATTTATATACATTAATAAGATCCTCCTAAGAATTCTCTTCATCAGCAAACTGCTCCATCAACCAGATCATTAATGCAGATGTTAAACAGGACTGGACCCATTATTGACCCCTGGGATACACTCCTAGTCACTGGCATGCAATTAGACCTTGTGCCGCTGATCACCCCTCTCCGTGCTCCTGTTCAGACAGTTTTCAACCCACCTCACCATCTACTCATCCAGCCCATACATCAACAGGTTCTCTATGAGGATCTCATGGGAGACAGTGTCAAAGGCCCTACTGTAGTCCAGGTAGACAACAGTCACTGCTCTCCCCTCATCTGCCAGGCGAGTCATTTCATCATAGAAATTTATCAAGTTGGTCAAGCAAGACTTCCCATTGGTGAAGCCATGCTGACTACTTCTACTCCTGATGATTTGCTTGTCCTTAATGCACCTGAAAATGGTTTTCAGGATTAGGTGCTCCATCACTTTTCCAGAGATTGAGGTGAGGCTGAGCAGCCTATAGTTTCCTGGGTTCTCCTTCTTGCATTTAAGACAGAACTGATATTTGCTTTCCTTCAGTCTTCAAGCACTTCTCTCAACCACCATGACCAATCAAAGACTATCAAGAGTGTCCTTGCAATGACATCTGCCAGTTCCCTCAGCACTTGAGGGTGCATCCCAACAGGGCCCACAGACTTACGTCCGGTTTGCTTAAGTATTCCCTGATCTGATCCCTCTTCCAACAAGGGTACATCTTCCTTGCTCCAGCTCTTCCCTCTGGTCCCTAGGACCTGGCATTCCTTACTTGCTACGTTCAGTACTTCAGCGTTTTTCATGTCCTGTGTAACCAAGTCCTCCATCTCATGCAGCAATAGGCCTACATTTTCCTAGTCTTCTTTTTGTCTCTTATGTACTTACAGAAGCCCTTCTTGTTGTCTTTGACATCCCTTGGCATATGTAGCTCAATTTACCGAATTTCACAGTGATGTCATCAATAAAACTCCAATTTTGCCTCTGCAGCACATTTTTAGGAATTCCTGTTTTAAAAATTTGAAACACGGGAAAATATTAGGTAACTAATTCTAGAAAAATATGAAAGAACTTATTTTCCAAATTATGATTATATAAATGTAGGAAAAGAATAAAAATGCCCAAACAAAAAAGTTTCTTTCAATTGTCTAAATAAAATGTATGGAAAAGAACACAGTTTTTTGAACACTGTGGCCTGAAATTTCTACAATATTCAAGCACACATTGCTTCTACATATGTACAGCTCCAGCTGCTTTTCATGCAAGTTGCATCTGTTTATTTGAGAGCAGAATTCAGCATATATTTAAAAGAAAAAAAAAAAGAATTTTAGTAAAATACAAAATTTCTAGTATTTAAGCTGCCTATAACATTTTGCTTGCCTGACTGATTTAATCAATTACTCATATGATACTGCATTGGTACTAGTGTTGGAAGCTCATATGAAACTTCATGTATCACAAGCTTCATCATTACGCTTGTTAAGTTCCTAGTTAACCAAAGACTGCAAAACAAGAGGTCAACATTTAAGAAATTCTCAGATGGACAACTACGGCATCCTTCAATGACAGTAAAGCAGACATCACATTCATTTTTATAATCAGTTTAGAATTGCTTACTTGTAGAAGTATGCCTGCGCAGCAACAGTCACAGGCTGCTATACTACTACAGCTAAATTCTGGATTTGGCCTTCTGTGGCTACATTGTATTTTTCGCCTGGAGCAGCAGTGAAGTTTTGAAGCAAATCTGACAGTCCTCCATTGCTACCTGATGGTTTGTTTCACTAAGTAGTTTTGGTTTGTACTAGGTTGCTTTAGCAAGAAGCTGAAGTGGAAGTCCTCTCCAGGCGCATGTCAAGCAATCTCCAATGCTTAAGCGGACATAAAGCTCCAAAGAACCTTATACAGCTTTCAGTCAGGCATCACAGTAAATCTAATCCAATGCAAAACATTAAAATCACATATAGCATAGATGTATAGGTCTATGCACCAAATACATTGCTCTAATCATCTGTTTCTCTTAAGTCCAATTACTAGCTTATGCAGAATTACCTACACCTCCTGATATTTTGCTGCAAACTTGCATGCTACTGAATGCTGTTACATTTCATATAAAGGAAAGCATGGGTTCAAACATTTATGATCTTCTTCAAATAAAGGTTAAAGAAAGCGACTATACAAAACTACCATGAACGCTCTGAATTTTGTTTGTCTAACACATCTTTAAAGCTTAAAATTTAATAAGCATAATACAGATGCTACTATTATCTTCAAATATTTTTTCATTGTTAACACAGCTAGAGCTACTTACTGCTGAATAAATAAAAATATCTACAACACAGTGTCACTGTTTTTGTTGTCATTTGGCTTTGTTTTGTTTTTTTTTTTTTTTTGTTTTTAATTATTACCACCTTGTGACTTTTTGGAAACACAGACAAATAAGCTAAGAGTTTTGGGAAAGCTGTCCCTCTGGATATTACGATTAGGCTCCTCACATGAAATAAATGTTTAATTTGTTATTAGCACAGCTGACATGCAATTTCCTTACCTCCTCTTCAGATACAATACCAGTTACAACACAGCTTTATATAAATTCTCAATAGTTTCTGCTCTTTCACATTCAGAATTACAGAATCACAGCCACACCTTCATCCAATTGAAAAGCATGCATCACACACCTCTCAGCCTGCTTCACAAAAAACACACCATACAACATTATAGGAACATAGCCTCATTTTTTGTTACCTAGACATACACTTCAGTAAGAAAGAATAATTTTATATGAAAGTTAAGCTGTGGTTTAAGCTTGTTTTCAACTCCTCTCTTACTGCCTCCAAAACCTTGGGCTGTTTCCCAATATTTGCTCTCAATTGAGTATTAACGATCAAAAATCATAGCTACTTGAATCTACAGTGAGACTTACAGCCTTGCTGCTCAGATTCTTCAACATCTGGAACGTACCATACCTACTAGGCCTACTCACACAAGTACCTAACACGTCCATACAACCGCCATCTGCATGAACACGATCATGTGCGTTTGCTATACCTTTTCTAAACATCAAAGTTTTCAAATGAAGTTGATGCACATACACAGAATATTCAAGAGAACTTGCAACAGAAAACAACCCAACCCAAAACCAAGAACAGCTTGGTTAACACTGTTCATAGTATGCCACATTGCATCAAATTTATTTCACTGTGTATTCCAAGCCAACTCAAATACCGTTGAGACTCTGGTTGAGAACTTCAAGTATGAAAGGTTGAAGAATCTTACCTAATCATTTCATATGTATTTGTGTAACCATTTTTTCCTCAATAATCCTACTGAGGAAACAACAATCACAGGCTAATCCACCTAAAGTTGTTCCTCAAAAATTAGTATGTAATGCGTTTTTCTGTGGTAATGAAACTCCAAAACTTCCAAACTTACATTCCACTCAGGACAGACAGGAAGTGACAAAAATATTTTAAGAAGAAAGGCAATTTAATTTAAAACAAAAGTGAAGACACCACAGTAAATAACTCTCATTTCATCTTTTGAATACTCTCCCTACAGATTTCTACTTCAGAATCAAGTTTGGAAAGTTATATATAAGAGAGAGAAAATAAAAACCTCTACTATTTGAGAAAGATTGCTAAAACTGATGGGTTTTAAATCAGAAAACAAGAATTATGATATCAGAGATTTAGAACGTAAGAGGAAAGAGATGGCTTAGGAAAAATATATATCCTCTTTACAGAGAAGTATCTCTAATGTTTAGACACTTAAGAGGTAAATCAGCCATGAATGTATGAAAAATAAACTGATCTATGCTTAAATAACCGTTCCAAACTTTGAGTGGTGAAGTTCAGCTTGCAGATTTATGCATGGAGCAGAAAATCATTATACTTTCCTATTACTGCACACTACCATGTAGTAAATCAGCAATCTGCATTACAAACTTTATAGTGGGGGGAAATGATGCTTTTCAACAACCTCTTGCCTGAACAGCCCAAATGTCTTTGAAAACACAGGTTGCTGATTTTTATAGTGTTTACATTAAATCTTAATCCAAGTATTTATCCTGTTAAAAAAATAAATAATCAAATATAGCCCAAACTGAATATTCCTAACTTTTCAGTTAATGTGTTCCCTCCTCCTCTTACCTTCTCTGGAGGTGCAGGAGGGTGAAATCTCTTCGCACAAACTAGAAATGCATCAGGCTGCGGCTTGCCACACTTCACCTCGGGGTCATCTCCCAACACGATATGATGAAAAAGACCAAAGAAGTCTTTGTGTCTGGCTGTTTTCATCTGAAATGTCACTTCAGCTGAGCTGGTGGCAACAGCTATGGGTATGTCATGTTTGTGTAAATGACGGATAAGCTTATCAACCCCTGCAAAACAAGTACATATATTTTATTTTTATACATATCCAGATATGTAGGTACATGTATTAATATTTATACCTACTTGCAATATATTTAGCAATATTCCAACAACATTGTCTTACTGCATACAACAACCTATTTCAATCAGTTACTGTAGAAGAAAATTCTTGCTACATCTGAAACATTCCTTCTCCACACAAAAATTATGGAACTTTCCTCAAGGTATATACTCGTTCTGTCATCAAATGATGCCGTTCTCAAAATACGCCAAAAATGGCTTCAACATCATTGTGTAAGTACACCCACTAGAAGCTCATTAAGCAATGTCCCCAGCATTATGTATATTATTTCATACTCCCTGTAAGTGAGAGAAAAGTGCACAGGGGAACATTTTCTTTTATACACAAAGCTATGCTTCTACACAAACAAATAACCCAAACAAAAACCCCAAAGTCAATGAAATATACTCTTCTCACTGAATGGTATAGTTTTAATTTCTGAAGCAGGTATCCAACTGGCATAAACCAGCCTCTAAGAGAGATCCGTTTCTCTCTTTTGCAATTACTAGAGCAAGCAATGCTAAGCAGAGGAGGGGAGATGTCAGTCACAGTTGTTAATACCAGAGCTTTATCTATTGATGCTGTGAAACCAGAGTAATGAACACCTCAAGCCTAATGGGTAGAAACTTCAATCTGATCCAGTCTTCCAGGGAAGGTTAACACAGGGAACAGTGAAAATACAGCAGTCTGTGTAAGAGGGAAATATACTTCATTATTCATTGCAAGTTTTGAGTTTCCTATGTAGAGGTTTCCATGCTTCTCTGCTGCAGCATTCTGAATGCTGGATACCTCCCCCAGACAAAACAATTAGCAGCATCTAATGCAGAATGAGTGTGGATGTCCGATCATTACAAAGTCACAAGAGAATTTATCTACAACAATCTCTAACAATTGCTCCATTTTGACAATTTCTATAAACATCAATCTTATCTGCAATACATTTTTCCGAAGTGTAGTCATATTCTCAACTTTGAGAAGTTATAATTATTACTCATAATAAGTACTAATAATAAGTACTACCGATAATAGCGTGTAGATCAGTAAATGAGTGCATTAACTAACCCATCTATCTGGAAGTAGGACCTGTAGATGTGGCTCTCTGCAGATCTATTCTCTATTCTCCAGAATCTAACCAACCAATTAATAACTGACATTTGCTTGTATTTGAAGACAGCCTCTAAACTATAAATACATGTATTTCTGTGATGTTAGATTTCCAGTTGGACAGAAACAACAGCAGTGTTATTCCGCCTCTAATGTCAACGCATCACCTGTTTAAAAGCCTTCCTATGCACCCTTAAATGGTTATACTAATAAGCAAGTGCATTTTTTCCCAAATGATGCTACTCTGTCCTCTCATTGAAATATGATGTTAAATACAAGTTAACTTTTTATTCCAGATGCAGATTATGTCTTCATTCTGAAACATGTGAAGTAAGCCTACGTTAAATTAATAGAAGTACAAGATCTCTTAATGTAAAGAAGAAACCTGATTGTCTCTTTTTTTAAAATAAAATGCATTAATTCAAATGAATTTATACTAAATAATCTGCAATATTTCGCTAGGCTAGCACATCGTGTATGTAGTAATATAAAGAAGTCTAAAGATTACGCAGGTAAGAAGACTTCTCCTATGTCCTTGCTATGATACAGTTAGTTTACTCTGAAGCTGTGCTCTTTTCAAACAGCTAATTTTCTTCAGTCCCACTGCATCACAGCTTCAGTTCATCTGTCACAGGGTATGTTTACTCCACGTTTCTATTGCAGGTAGCCAGTCACAGAAAAGCACTGTTGCAGAAAGATTATTTCGTCAGGGTTCCCTCTTATATTCCCGCAGCACATGTCCTGGTTTCGGTGTGTAAATGTGTGTGTGCGTTTGCTTTCTCTCTTTTTGGCTTCCCTCGCTACAAGGGAGCTAAAATGCAGCTGTTCCCAGTAGCTCCAGAGAGCAAAGATATACATTATTCAGAAAATGCACTTTAATGAAAATACGCTATTTAAAAAATGACTATTTGCACATGTGTTCATACAGCAAAACAGATTAGAAAAAAATACAAGCAGAAAATCAGTTGCATGAAAAAAAATTAAATTGCATATGGAAGAATAACTAGCATAACTTAAAAAGCTCAAGACACTAGCAGTTGAAAAATATTTTCATTCCAGGTTTGTTATTTCTTGTAAAAGCTATAGATCAACAAAATTCATTTTTGTTTGGATCAGTTACCACCAGTATAACTCCAGACACTTCGCTACCACATAAAATTACTGACACAATTATTGTACTAATTCAGCATATAATTCTTCATTAGGAAGATAATACCTTTCTCAGTATCTTTCTTGTCCTTTTTTTACAGAAAACATCAACAGAAGGGGAAGTGGACAACTGCTTTAAAGATCTGTAAGAAACTTCCCCTGGTACATACTTTGTCATTATGTCCTTTATAGCTACACAGATTTTTCAATCAAATGAAGACTTCAGTTACATCAAAAACAACCAGCTAAAAACTCAATGGCTATGAAGAAGTATTCCTGCGAACTTGTTAACTTCTAACTTACTTGTAGCTACCACGTAAGGGATCAAGGCCCATCCACCAAAGAGGGACTTATCTGCTAGGCTTCCTGGGATCATACTCCACCCCTCCCTACCTGAAAGCCACATGCAGCAAGTTCTTTTTTTTTTTCTCTTCCTTTTTCTTTGTTCTTCTTTTGGTTTTCTTTTAGCATCTTTGATTACAAACAGAAAATAAAGAAAGATCAAAAGAAATTAGGGTCTCTATTATTCCAGCATAAAGATACACTCCTAATGTGGTAGACGCACAGTAACAGGCAGTACAACATAAATTCTTCAAGTAAACATAAAAAAGTGAGGAATAAATATCCCACACTGCTATGCTTTGTTTCTAAATGTACTCTTTCATTTCAAATAATCAAAAAGGTAAATACTGTTTTTTTCCTCCATCTCTTTAAAAATTAAGTTTTAGAACAGACACAGAAGCCTACTGTATCATACATATAATAGATAAATACTGGTGACTATTGGAAAGAAAAATAGGTGAAAAGAATTGTAAATTGAATTTAGTTACAGAAGCTGAAAAGAAGAAGGATCAACTTTAAACATTAGCGTCTTTAAAACCTTATTAATCACCAATATCAATGAAATTAACAACTTTGAGTAAAGAAAAATAAAACTAACTAAACTAACAGAAAGCAATTTTTTCTTCTGAGAGCACAGATGCATTTTAAAGGAAGAGATCAGCACTTTTGTTTTGAAAGATGCATACAAACATGTACAGCAAGAGTTCAGGAAACCAAATAACGCTATGTTAAAATGATCTAACAATAGTCCCTATCTAATTATTTATACGCTACTAAAATAGTGTTTTCTACATAATTTTTTTCAGCTATATTTCATAATTAAATACCATTATTCATATGAAGTGAAAATTAACAAGACATAACTCCTGAGAGCTAATTCAAACTGATGCAAAACAAAGGGAAATTTTATTTTCCTTTTAGCATTATACCAACATGAGTTCTGTGTAATACAGAATACTTCAGAATGGTGAACAACACAAAGTTTCGCTACATTTTATTTAATATAATTTTTTATTTTCATAGCATCCCTTTTCCTGTGTTCATCTATCACTGAACAGAACACTGTTCTTAACTTAAATCACTTCTGTAACTCCAGATTCAGACCTATTTCTTGTGAAATGCCTCCAGACAAATAAGGAGATAATATAAATCTCTTTTTTTTCTAATGTCTCCAACCAAACTTTTGTCTTGCAAAGAATTTTTTATTTTTCTCCTTTCCTAAATTGAATTTTCTATGAACATGTTATAGCAGACTGTAAGAATGCTTTTCAAGATAGAAAAAAATGTGATCTCCATCATAAACTGGGCAAACATATGAGATAGGGAAGATGATTATTCATGCCACTTCAGCACTGAACCGTAATTTCAGTTTCCTCTGTTCACCAGTTGAATGACTTCTGGTGTTCATATTTCCACCTCCAGACGATTCATTTGAAGGCATAACTACACCATCAGGCAGATAATCACACTCTAAACTCTGCCAGTACCTTAACCTGAAAATCCACTGTTTGATGGTCTTATAAGCACAGACAAAGTCCTACAGTCTTATAGCTTCAGGAATACAGCTGGCTTTTGTACTGCCAGTAGAGCGTGCAGGAACAAGGTCACATACACGCCCAGGTCTATACAGACAAAATCCCACTGTCTCTTCTAATGTCTGTTTCAATTCTAAAAAGATGAACATAAGCTATGTACAAAAAAGCCCTTAAAAAAATGAATGGAACTCCCCAAGGCCTTCTCTTAAGTAAAAGCATACACTATAAATAGGACCACAAGAAGTTAGTATCCCAAAATTTACAAGGTAGCTTTTATGAAAGTTAAGCTTCAAAACTACATTACAGGAGCTCCTCCTACCTGGCCGAGCAGGCCTCAAATAAACAAACAATGGCATTTTCAATGGCAAATTCTTTCATGAACATCAGAGTGTAGCATCTCTTTCTTGCATCTCTTTAGTCCTTCCTTGGGTGCTACCTAGGTACTAATTACATACAATTTCTAGTTAATAGTATTTTAAGCATTATGCATTCCCAGGAAGAGAAACAGGAAATCAGTGGGCAATAAAGAAGACAATGTGTGTATGTGTGTTATGTCTTTTTTAAAATTTATTATTTGAAAGCAAATATGTTCTGCTAGGAAGGACATTTAGCAGACACATCCCCATTTTTCCGACCCTCAAACGAAACCCGAAAAGCTCACAGGGATTTCAGTTCTGCATCAACCATCATAGATAATATTCCTTTATAGTTTCCAACTAATTTAGCCTACTGTGTTAATCACTTTAAGAACATTTTGAGCAAGCTGGAACACAGAGACATCACATATATTAATATCTTCTGTTCTTCCAAATGAGTA